AACCATTGTGGAAGACAGTGTGGCAATTCCTCAAGGATCTAAAACCAGAAATACCATCCCATTACTGGGTATATACCCAGAGGATTATAAAAATCATTCTACTATAAAGACATGTGCACACGTATGTTCATTGCAGCACTATTCACAATAGCAAAGACTTGGAACCAACCCAAATGTTCATCAATGATAAACTGGATAAAGAAAATGTGGTACATATACACCATGCAATACTATGCAGCCATAAAAAAGGATGAGTTCATGTCCTTTGCAGGAGCATAGATGAAGCGGAACACCACCATTCTCAGCAAACTATCACAGAAACAGAAAACCAAACACCGCATGTTATCACTCATAAGTGTGAGTTGAACAATGAGAACACATGGATACAGGAAGGGGAACATCACACCCTGGGGCCTGTCAGGGGGTATGGGGCTAGCAGAGGGATAGCATTAGGAGAAATACCTAATGTAGATAATGGGTTGATGGGTGCAGCAAACCACCATGGCACGTGTATACCTATGTAACAAACCTGCACATTGTGCATGTGTATCCCAGAACTTAAAAGTATAATTAAAAAAAAGAAACACATTTTTAAAAAATGGTGTTGGGAGGTATAAAAGTCACGAGCCTCTCCTTTAAGCACATAGATGAAGATGGTGGTTTCTAAAAGCAAATAGATGTTTATTTTCCAGAAGAAATGGGAAAATATGCATGAAGGGCAAAAAGCACACATCCCTACAAAGGTGATTGTATAAGAGCAGAAAGGGTGATTTTCTAGTACATTGTGGCAGGATCCTCCTGCTAAAGTGTGAGTCAGTATCTGTATTTTTTTAATATATGTTTTTAAAAGTATGTGATTTTACTGCTACATTATATAATTAGCCATCCATGAAGATGAAATTGTAGTCAGAGCCTGGAGGGTATGCACCTGTTTAAGAAACAGGAGATTGACGAATGTTTCAGGCCCCAAGTCCTAGTTAGCAGAACACCACATAATTGGCAGACTCTTCTGGGAGGGAACTGCAGGGCCAGTAGCCCCTAAAGAGGTGTAAAGGAGCCCAAAGCAGTCAGGCTCAAGAGGCTCAAGAGATAAACGTGAAGTAGATCATCATTGCCTGACTGCTGATGTTAGATGACAGTCACTTTTGGGGAAACAAAAGGCTTCAAAAAATAAAAGTGAGAATAGCTCAATGTGTATTATTGGTTCTGTTTCTCCAGAGGACCCTGGCTGACACATTTAACTAGTGGTAAGGGGAGTTCAAAGGAATGAACTGCATGCCATGTAAAAAAAAAAAGCAAACACAAAAGAAAGAAAAGGAACTTATTTTACTACCTTCCTGGGAATGAAAATCCAAATTCAGCTAATGCTAATCACTCAGTAATTCATGGAAAATTACCTAGACAAAGAGAATACAGCAGAAATTTAAGAACATGTAAAATTGATAATATAAAAATAAATAAAAACAGAGCCAGCCTGTATGAGGAATATCTCATTAGACTAATGTTTAAAGATGGGCAGTATAAGAAAGGGAGGATGGAAGAGAAAGAAGGAATAGCAGTGAGGGTAAGAGAGGCCTTTGGGACTTGGGCAGGCAGAGAAGAAAGACAATAATCCCAAAAGGAGCACTGAGATGGGGGGAGAGTAGATGTGGGTGAAAGGGAGCTGTGGATGAGAGGGCTGGAGCAAGGTAGGACATCAAAGTTAAAAAGTTGGTCTTTGGAACCTGATCCAGAACGCTTTTCTCTTGTTTTCAAAGGCCTTGACCTTTTGGAGGCATTCCATGCTCCAGATGTTTTTCGACTTCTCCTTCCCTCTCATAATTTATTTGCTTTTTGTCCCATTCATTCAGTGACTTACTTCCTACTAAAATAATAAAATTGCAAATAGGTTCTAAGAAACCATATATGCCTTTCTTTTGGGACCTGTATGAATTGCCTGAGATAATTTTTCAGTTGGCTTCAACATTTATCAAGTATCTACTGAATGCTAGACACCTTACTCAGCACCAGGAGAGAGAAGACAGATTTTCTGTCTCCCAGGAGTTCATGCATAGCAATCAAAGCAGAGTCACAATACAATGTGATAAGGGCTAATGTAGTGTTGCAACAGTGGTTCAGTAGTGATCATAAGGTAGAGATTAATTCTTCCTGGGAGAATCAGAGAGTAGCTTTGTTAAATGGGAAAAGGAGAAATGTTGCTTTAACTGGAATGGAAAACATAAGCAAAGGCAAACAGAGTCAAAAATGCTTGGTATTCAAGAGAGATATTACCTGCAGGTAGGACAGGCGAGGGGAGCTGGGAGAGGAGCCATTGGGGTGATCTGTCAATGACCCCATCCATTGCACAGAATCTAAAGTGCTGACTCTTTAAGGTACTTTGGTTAGTTTCTTCCTGCAAAGACTATCCTTATAAATAGAGTCAGCACACTTTCTGCAATTTCTGTTCTTGCATGCCCATGAGTCCTTGTCATGACTCTGCTATTAGAATGTGAGGACAGTCATAGACAAAATATAAATGAATGGGTATGGCTGTGTTCCAATTAAACTTTATTTATGAAAACAAGCAGTCATCTCACAGGATATTAGTTTGCTCCCTCTGAGTGATGTTGAAGTAGTACAGTAGATCCTTAAGCAACATGGATTTGGACTGCACGGGTCCACCTCTGTCACCCCTGAGACAGCAAGGCCAACCCCTCTTCTTCCATCCCTCCATATTCTTCTCATCATGAAGATGACATAGGTGAAGAACATTTTGATGATTTGCTTCCATTTAATGAGTAATAAATATATTTTCTCTTTCTTAATAACATTTTCTTTTCTCTAGCTTACTTTATTGTAATAATACAGTATTTGATACACATAACATACAAAATATGTGTTAATTGACTGTTTATGTTACCACTGAGGCTTCTGGTCAACATTAAGCTATTAGTAAAGTTTTGAGGGAGTCAAAAGTTACAGGTGAATTTTCAACTGTGTGGAGGAGGGTTGGCACCCCTCACCCCCGATTTGTTCAAGAGTCAATTATAGATTAGAACCTTCTGCACAAGGGAGCAAGGAAGTGATCTAACATTGTAGGGCCAGAATTCAGGCCAAAAAGACCCAGTTGTACCTGACTGTTTTGTCTGCCCCTGTGTTCAAATCTTTAAATGTCTTTTCAGGTAATTTTAGAATCAATATTTAAAGGGAGATGGATGACTCAACTTACTAATTTTTAAAACACGACTTTTCAAACATTTTTAGTTAGAATGAAATAGCTAGGCTTGGACAGAAATAAGAAGTTTCAATCCCCTTTATAAATGTTTTTCTCTTCTGTCTCACCATCCCCTGCGACAAATCAAGAAGATGTTTTCTAATAAAAACTCATTTTCCCTGTGTTAAACATGCTCTGAATTCATTTGATTTGGCTGATCATTTCACAACTTTTCTTTTTGTAAAATTTATTCAGAATGACAAAGAGAGAAAAAACAAAACTTTCTGGGAAAGAAGGAATAAGAAGGTGGATTGGCAGAAAGATCAGTGTAGTTTTCCTTAGAGCTTCCTGGGCAGAGCACAGCAAAGGCTGGTAAGTGGCTTTGTTTGCCAGGGAGAGATTCTGTTGTATCTTCACAATGCTATCACAACTGCGAACACTGGAGATTTCTTTTCCACATACTCAAATAACTAGTTTGACCAAATTTCCCACCCAATTGTCTTTTGTTAAAGCACTATAAAGATACAACCTGAAGCACCTTTGAGACCATGAGTTTTTGATTTATTGCTTTTGTCCAAACAATTGCAAACAATTTAACTAAAGGCCTAATGTATTCCTTTTGTCCCTTGAGACTTTCCAGTTTCCATTTCAATGTCACAGTGTCTTCTACAGGCTTCTTTCTTCCCATTCCAATTGCCACCTTCCCCCCGCACGAAAGTCTCCCTTGAGATTCAGACATGGCTCTCTCTGTGTTAGCCACATGAATTCTTTTATATCCCACTTCATATTGTTGTTGATTTGTTCATTTATCCAAGAACAAAATATCTGAGTGGTGAAATCTAACTTCCATGACTGCTATATCCAAACCAACTATTTTTATAGTTTGGAAAGTATTGTCAGATTAGTATGTGTAAGCAAATTTGAGACAATTATGGTTGTGCTAAACTTTATAGTTTTAAAGCGTCTGTCAGTGTATTTTAGCTACATAGGAAAGCTACATAATTTTAACTTTCTAAATCATGCTTGACATATTATTTAAATTTGCCATAAAGGGATTAAATCTTATCCATGCACAGCATTAGTTTTTTCAAATGTTAAGTTGTCAGAAATTAATATGCTGTACATATGTATATGTTGTCAAGTAGAGTAGCATTTTTCCTAGCTACCGAACCTGGAAAAGGAGTGTTCCTAAAACATACATTTGCCTTTCCCACTAGTCCCCTTATTAGCAAGCAAATAATCAATGTCTGTCATTGTAATACTATTTTGGCAGTTAATAAAAGAACTGGTAGCCTCATTCAAGGTTATTATTTTAGTGTGCCTTCTAGATTCCTCTATTTATCCCTCTTTCCTTTGTGCTCCCTTTGTGCTTTGGACATAATCCATCCTGGCATTTCTATTTTAATGATATGTTTATGGGTCTCTATACTCCTTAAATGGTGAACTTTTCTAAAGCTTGGGTCATGTTTATTAATCTTTGGACTTTCAATGCCTAGGACTATACCTGACAACCAACAGGTAATTAATTCCCAAATGTATACATGTCTGGTAAAACGCGTTGGTCAAAGTATTGTATGACATTTTCCAGTCCTTGGAGACAGGTGTTAGAATTCAGTCTTTTATTTGGTTACTTCATATCTTTACCTTTGGGATCAGAGAGGTAAATGGGAGAAGAGAGTGTATTTCTGTAATAGAAAAGGGGCTCAGCAGTTGCCATGTTGCCATTGAAGACGCTGAGATCACCCTAGCTTTGTTAACTATCTGTGCAGATGGGAAGTCCTTAAAATCTTGATTCTCTCCACTGCAGGTTGCCTATGGAGAGCTACAAATTGAAGAGTTTCTTAATCAGCCCACAGTTGACTTGATTCCCAGACACAGACAACATGAGTTTAATTATCTGGAGACATTTCAGAGGATGTTGATGTTTCATGATGGGAAAACGGCTACTTCTACAAAGAACTGAGCTTTCTGAATAGACAGAAGGTCATTCCTGTGAGCACTGTATATTTTGCCAACAAAATTAGACTGATCAGTTAAGAAGGAGTATGCCTTAATTGTTAAGAATATAGGATCAGGCAGTCTGAGTTCTGAGTTCAAAATCCTAACCTTACTCTTACCAACCAAGTGCCCATTGAGAACAGGATCATAACAAGTGGGTGAAATGATTAGCATGACAATGCCTAGATGATATGATATTGTAAATATTCAATATGATGTAATTAATTGTCCAATATCAATTGAGTGCATACCATGTGGATACAAGGAGAACAAGAAGATGAAGTCTTTCTCATTGGGAAGCTCACATCTTAGTGACCCTCCAAAATTAATATATCTAAAGACTAAGTACGGTGCCAAACACAAAGTAATTGCTATCTACACTGTTATTCATGCAAATGGTTAAATCAGTGCACCCCCTCCCAATCATGGATTATTCTCATATTACAGATCACTCTTATATTATACCTCCCTCCAGACAGTAAATGGAAATCTGCACTCCTAGAATTTTGTGTTGTTATTCTTTTTTTTTTTTGGAAAAGAAGTTTTGCTCTTGATACCCAGGCTGGAGTGCAATGGCGCGATCTTGGTTCACAGCAACCTCTGCCTCCTGGGTTCAGGTGATTCTCCTGCCTCAGCCTCCTGAGTAGCTGGGATTATAGGGGTGCGCCACCATCCCAGCTAATTTTGTATTTTTAGTAGAGATGGGGTTTCTCCATGTTGCTCAGGCTGGTCTTGAACTCCCGACCTCAGGTGATCCGCCCACCTTGGCCTCCCAAAGTGCCGGGATTACATGCGTGAGCCACTGCGCCTGGCAGTGTGTTGTTATTCTTAACGATGATACGGCAAGAGACTGCACGCATCCTGATTTGCAAGCCTGGGGGGCTTGGAAATGTCAGGAAATACACGAAAAATCAAACCCCATTCTTTCAACTCACTGGCAATTTTTTCATGGCTACACACTCTTCATTTAATCTACATTTCCCTACCAGCAGGCGCTCACCCACTACCATTGGTGAAGGCACCAGTGAGTTTCTGGTAAGGATCTGAGTTGTTCCTGACCACAAATTGGAGGAACCATGTGGGCAAAGGTGTAGCATTGCATTCTCTTGGAACACAGCCTTTTGTCATTTGGCAAAGAGATTCATCTTGCATTTTTGAGGATGATGGCAAGCAATACATGATGTCAAGCAATACTCAACTTCATAACCTTGATTCATATCCTTCCCCTTAATGCCTCTAACAGGACAACTGAAATTTATATTGCCTGATTGAAAAGAGGCTTTATTTGACCCAGACACAAAGTTAGATTTCCAATACTTCCCTAGTCTCCAAGCCATAAAAAATTAAATGCCTGGAATGTGTACCTTACAAGATAAAATAAATGAGATAACTTTTTACTGGTAAGCAATCAATAGCCTATTAAAATAAAACTAGCATATAATTCACTAATTTTTGTAGAGGGACAACATTTTATTTTGGTCCTGTAAGTTTTCCCAATAGAGCTGGAAAAATTGTAGAATAGATTTTGGAAATAGTATGTTCAGGAATAAAATAATGCAATATGCAGTAACTCAAGCTGATAAATAGGTTAATTGCAATAATGCTTGGCATGTAGATCTTTTTCTGCTAAGACTTTGAAATTTGGAAAAACTCATAATATTTATGTTTGTCATTTAAAGAATTTAAGGGGTTATTAATATTCAGAAACACGTACTAATTTCCTTTGAAGGGAGATAACTTACTGGCTGTAAAATAAATATTGGTCTTGGAACTGGACAAACTGAGTTTAAATATTGGCTCCTTCACTTACTTGTGATGTGACTTTAGATAAATAATTTAATCTTGATTTTTTAAAGTCTGAAAAATAGGTTTAATGATACCGAATGCTTTAGTAGTACAATGAGGTATTCCACAAAGATAGTGAAGAACAGGGAAATTAGGTTGCACGTAACTACTCTCTTAGGAGCTTTAACAAAATAATAAAATACTTGGGTTCCTAACCCCAGAATTCTGATATAATTAGACTTGAATGAGGTTGAGGCACAGTATTTTTGTAAAAATCCAGTTGGATATGGTCCCTATCTCTCGTGAAGTGCACATTACAGGAGAAGTTACTGACGTTATAGGTGAAGAATTAGATTGAACATGAGTTTTAGAGCCAGGAAAGTCTGTGACATTTTGCTAGCTGTGTGGCCTTGGGCAGTAACTTAATTTTCCTGAGTCTCAGTTTCCTCATGTATAAACACTAAGCTTAATGCATTTATATCTCTTAGAATAGTGATTTAGGACTGCCACATAGTAGGTGCACCCTAAATAGCATTATTCATTATAATTTTAAAAGTTTTACTGGTAATATTTTACCTCAAAAAGATACTATGACTGATGGTTTAGGTCTACAAATATCTAATTGCTCAGTTGTAGTATTTCACTTTAAAGTGAATAAGAACTCCAAAAGGTTAAAGAAAATCACATTTCTATCTCATTAGTGTCGAAATGGGGGCAGTTACAGCCTCTTTTCCATGCCAAGTCACTACTACTAGTACTGTCAATACATTTTTTTCATAAAATATATTAATCAGACAGGGAATATTAGGTATTGAGAGTTAATTTGTACTTTCATGTCCGTATTGATTTAAACAACATAATTTTGTGGTTTTGTTTTCAATTTCCATCTTGCATGTTTTAGAATTTCATCTTCTATCTTGGTATGTGGAACAATGTATCAATAAACATCAGTGAGCATAAAGGAAAGATGACCCGACAAATACTTGCATCCAGTTCGATTTTAATTCAGGTTCTATTTCATTTCATCCTAATACATATAAACCTAAATTTCCCTTATAGACTCCTAACTCTTAATTAAAATCACTATCACGTTGCCTAGAGGAAAAGTCTGCTTTTCTATGTATTTCTCCTTTTACACAGAGATTCAGAACATTTAGATTATAGTTTTTGGCCTAATAATTTAACTTTACATAAGCAGAGGGTGATTTTCACAATATCAAAAGCTGGTATCTATCACTTTTGGCAGCCTCCAATTGCAAATGAAATTTCCCGGAATATTATGAAAGAAAGACGTTGGCCTGTAGAACACTCCTGATTTATAGTACAAGACCTTGATTTTAAAATAATCTTGTGAGACAATTTGGCTTAATCCTTAATTTTTTTCTCTTGATTTCAGGACTTAATGTATCTAAAATAAACACTTTAATTTGAGCAATTAATTACAAATTAGGGACATGTCTAGTCTGTATGAGGGCATAATTAAGGGTATAATTCCTCAGTTCTTTTCTTTATTTTGGCTTTTGATTTTGGCCCAAATTGGAACACATGTACAAATGCTAAAAGAAGTTCTACCATGAAAATAGAAGATATCATTATAAAATATAAAACCTGTTCCCAAAGTTACACACAAAACTCAGAATTGTGACTCACAGTCAAGGGAGCTGCAAAACAGATCCCTACCCCTTTTACAAAAGAAATCAGATTCATGACAGTAAAAGCTGAGATTCACCAGGTAAAAGTTGTTCTTTTGTTTTAACAAAACGTCTCCAAAACTCTATCATCCCAGAGTCCCACTTTTCATTTTCTTCTTAGATGAAAATTTTTCCTAAATTCCCTTTGGATTCCTCGTGGATGCTTCCTTGAATACTGGGTGTATCTTGTGATTCCACTATTCTGCCCAATCCCATCAAATCTAGAATGAACTCAGCACTCTCTACCATCTGATCCTAACTCATTAATCCAGTCTAAGCTTTTCACCCATGTGATTTTTCCACTTGAGCCTGGCTGAGCTATTCATAATGTCCAAAATGTATTTCTTGCATTCATATCCTGTGCCTTCAAGTACACTGTGAAATAACAAGAAATATACACATTATTCTTTGTCCCAGTTTCCTGGCACAGAGTTCCTAAAACTCTGGTAATTTCCTGAGCGATAGAGTACTAGAGAATCTTTTGTCCTGGTCTCTGTTTTGGTCTCTGTTTTAGTTTCTGAGATAGAGCTCCTAATACCATTGTACATAAAAGTGCATTTGGTATTTGACCCTGTTCCTGACACAAAGCCCCTAAATCTCTTGGAATTTCCAGAGTAATCGGAGCATCTTTTGTCCCAGTAAAGCAATTCTTGATGGGCTCCTGGATTGCCTCAGGATGAGGGCTAGGTCAGGGAGAATCAACTATATGATTAGAGGATTTGAAATTTTAGTTCCACTCCTGACCTCCTGGTAGAGTAGAGCTGAAGGTTGAGTTGTTCAACCAAAGGCCAATGGTGTAATAAATCATGCCTACGTAACAAAGCTTTCATAAAACTCCAGAAAGGCTGGGTTCAGAGAACCACTAGGTTACTGACCATGTGGAGGTTTCTGGAGAGTGACCTTCCTGGAGAAGGCATGGAAGCTTTGCCTTCATTCTCCCGTATCTCACCCTATACATCTCTTCCATCTTGCTGTTCATCTGTATCCTTTGAAATATTCTTCATAATAAGCCAGTAAATGTAAGTAAAATGTTGCCCTGAGTTCTGTGAGCCACTCTAGCCAATTAATTGAACCTGAGAAGGGGATCATGGGAACCCCTATTTATTGCCAGTCAATCAGAAGCACAGGCCACAGCCTGTGCTTACAACTGGCCTGTGAATGGGGGCAGTCTTATGGGACTGAGCCCTCAACCTGTGGTATCTGATACTATCTCTAGGTAGATAGTGTCAGAACTGAATTTCATTAGAGGACTACCAGTTGGTGTTACTGGAGATTTTGCATAATTGATTGGTGCTGGTAGGAAGAAATCCCACACATTTTGGTGACTGGAGGTGAAGTATTCAGCATTGCATTGAGTGTGAGAGCAAAATCACCTTTCCTTTTCCTGTGTCAACATATGCTCTTCTCTTAGTTTCGAAAGACCTTCCTTCTTTTCTCTATCTAAGAAGCCTCACACAAACATTAGATCTTCCATGCAGCCTTTTCTGACCATGAACCGTTGTAACTTTACTTGTCCTTTTTAATTAGTCTTTACTATTTTGATTCCCTTCAGTTAGATCAAACAGTACGTGAGAGCAGATCTAGTAATACTTTTTCTTCTCACTAAAACAGAAACACTTCCTTTTTTAAGCAAATATTTAATGAGCACTTATGAAGTACAATGTACTCCTCCAGACATTTGGAACATATCATAGAACAAAGTCTGCCTGTTTACAAAGACAAACTTTTTTATAGTTTTCTGAATCTTAGAAGCATGATAAGTTCAGCTAAGATCTAATAGGCAAGTAATTATGATGGAACCCAATGAAGAACTCAATTCATTATTGATGAGCCTTGCTGGTTTGGCTTATTATCAGAAAGTTCTGGAAGGAAGAAGAAAAATAAAACTTAACAGTTATTGAACAATAGAACAACATTTACATTGCTAGTTTCATTTGCTATCCAGGATAAATATTGAAAGATATGTAGTCCCTTACAGGGGATGTTTCAGTAAAGTGAAAAATAAATGTATCAGAGGATAGTTGGCCTAAAAGAAAAGTCTTTGTCTCTATTAGAGTACTTTCTCATAAATAAATAAATAATATCTATGTCTTCTGAAGCCAGCT